TTGAACAGTCCACAAGTCGTCAAATAAAGAGCGAGCATCCTTAATAAAACATGCCTCACACGGCTCCGGGGGGTGAATAAAGGCCTCCTGTAGTGAATCCATGTGTTTTTGTAAGATAAATATCCATATTTCAAACGTAATAAACACTTTTCTCTCACTTCAGGTATCTGTCACATGCGGAAGCCGTTCCGGTGGATGATGTAGTACGTTGGCGTTGCGTGATTAGTGACGAATGCGGAGAGAGAACAAAACAAAACGCTGGTCATGAATTAGAAGTACAAACCGAGGATTTGCAAAGAAAAATGTCAGAGGATTTCGATATAAGCCAAGAGGAGACTGGTTTTCCTTTGCTAAAGTAAGGAAACTTTGCTTCCTTTGCTCCTATAAATAAACTCGCGAGACTAGCATTTCTCAGAGGCGCGCGCGCTGCGCATACATCCTGCGTCATCCACCGGAACGGCTTCCGCATATGACAGATACCGGAAGTGAGAGAAAAGTGTTTATTACGTTTGAAATATGGATATTTATCTTACAAAAACACATGGATTCACTACAGGAGGCCTTTATTTACCCCCCGGAGCCGTGTGAGGCACGTTTTATTAAGGATGCGCATGCTTTATTTGACGACTTGTGAACTGTTCAACTTCAACACCCGCTGACTGCAATGATACAGCTTGGAAGAGCCAGGACAATTTTTAATATTACTCCGACTGGATTCGTCTGAAAGAAGAAAGTCATATACACCTAGGATGCTTCGAGGGTGAGTAAAACACAGGAAAATTTCATTTTGGGGTGAACTAACCCTTTAAGTTCTGTAGATTTCTGAGACATGATTAGATGTTGTCTATTAATAAATAATCACAAACAATGGTGTACGTGAGCCTAAGACCAGACCAAGTGTTTTCCTCAGGGGCTTGGCCAGAAGTTTCTGTTGCTCTGTCTCACAGGGTTTTCGACACGCTGCCCCAGGTGGAAGTGATGCATTCTGGGCTCTATCTGAGTTCTCTCTCTCTCCTGCGGGACTGGGGTTCAGTGGAGTGGCAGAGCAGTTGGTGTTCTAGGCACGCACGGATCAAGTGGCTATGAAATATTAACATATATATTTTTATTTCCCTTTATCAGCCATAAGAAATGAGTGGAGCTGTTACATTGCATTACTCCAGAGGACAAGGGGAGATAAACTCTTTGGCATTTGGGTTATTGATGAGGAAAGCTGCATTTCTAAAATTAAAGCACTCTGTAGGTTTGTGCACGTGTGTTTGAAATGAATAATTCAACAGACCTGCATGACTTTTTTCACGTTAAAGGGTTCATATCATAGATTCCTTTTATCATTTTTCCCCTGATGTCCACTTAAAATGTTAGTAAAGCTTTGAAATGGCTAGGGACCTTGTTAAAAATGAATTTCAACCCTTCATTAATAATGCCAGCATCCTTCTGAAGGATCTGCAGAGATGTAGGTGCTACACACTGAAGAACATCACAACATTTTAAAAACACTTGCTAATTGTGTTGTTGTAATAATAGCTTCTTTTATGTTTCTTCCTCATTTTTCTGGTCACTGATTAGGCATTACTGACATTCAAATGTGATTGGATATGTTAATGTTTTTTTTGCATGTCTGATGTCAGAAGTACAAAGATTTCAGAATGAGCCATTTTTGCAGTGTAAATGATATCAATAAATATTATGTGTATTTATTTATTTTTTACTTTGTGTTAGTGGATCAAGCTCAATAGATATACAGTATTTGCTATAAATATTCTAAATTAAGAAATAAATATAAATCATTTTAATTAAAATTTAATTTGAATAATTTATTTAAAATGGAAAAATCAGGTTATTTTGTTGATTGGTTGGTTGGATAGATTGATAGATATACTATAAATTTTCTAAATTAAAAAAATAAATATAAATAATTTTAATGATGATTTAATTGTAATAATAATTTATTTAAAATTAAAAATAAAATCAAGTTATATTGTTGGTTGGATGGATGGATGGGTGAATGGATGGATATATATACTATAAATATTCTAAATTAATAAATATACATAATTTTAATGATAATTTAATTTTACCCATGTTTTCATAGTGGATCAAACTTGTTTATTAAAATGAATGAATGAATGAATGAATGAATGAATGAATAAATAAGGGGTATTTGATTTCTCTAGCTATGACCCTTTAAAGTCAATATGAGACAATAATGATGAGACATTTTCGAGTGATTAGGTAAAAAATAATGTAGGATGTGGCTTGATTTTACAGTATCTATTGAGAATTGATTGTCATTTGATTTATTAATATATGTTTTCCAGCTCACATTGCAACAAAAGAAAAGCAGAAAAGTCATTTCAGCAGTCATAAAAGTTATATTTTATGCCAACATTTTTTTTTCTTTACAATAATATGCATTGTTGAATGATGCATAATAAAAAATGTTTAGAATTTATTAAGACAGTAAATTGGATGAATTTGGATCCATTTCACGTTGTTGTCTGGAGTCAAGGGCTGTCAGTAAAGCGAGTGCTGGATGGGTTATTATTATGCCAGAAGATTTGAATGTCCCTTGGCCTTCCTGTCACGCTGGGTGACATACCGCGGTCTCTCCACCCTCCAGCGTCCGAGCCAGCGCTCTTCTGAAGCAGACGTTAGCGACTCTTGCCTGTGTCTTTCAGTGTGATTGCATCAGCTTCCACACCTGCTTCTGGGTCTCCTTCTTATTGGGCAGCAGTTATGACACCACCTTTTAGTGCTTATTTAATGTTTGGTTTATTTGTGTGGATTGCTGGTTCTCTCTGATTCTCTGAGGTTACTTTCTGCATCCTCTCTCTCTCTCTCTCTCTCTCTCTTACACATAGTGATGTTTACACATGAAGTTTCATCTTCTGCCATGAAGAGCAGTTTGATAGCGTGTCTGCGTTATCTGTTTATGAGGTCCTGTGGGGGATAAAGGCAGAAGAGAATTTGATTTGGCTCTATTGGAGAAGCAGAGAGAGAGAGAGTTTCACTGCAACTGTCTTGTGTTGCCACTAATGTTTAATGATGTCATAGTCACCAGCAATGAATCCATAATGTTTTTTAAGGGGAAAAAAGGTTAGAAAATAAACACTGTAATGGCAAGCAACAGCGGTTAGATTTGTTTCTAGGCCTTTGAAATGAAAGACTCCGATTTAATTTCCACTTAACAATTGCACAACAGTACAAACAATAATACTTACAGTATAATACTCATAAAAATAATATATTTTTAAGTATTATTTTAAGTGTTTTTATTTAGTGCATGTATAGAAAACAGTGTTCTTGACTAGAAATTGATTAATATTATGTTTTTTTTTTTTATGAAATAGTCCTAATTATTTGTGTGGACTACTTTTAGTGCTTCACTTATGCATGCTTTTCAAGCTGACAATTCATCGCTGTTTTAATACTATATTTTAGAATGCAGAACCATTATTAACGGACCTGAATGTCATGAAAATCATTTGGACATACAAAAAAAAATCTGCTGAAACCTTTAATTTTCCGTTTTATAGAAAAATAGATTTTGCCTGCTGGTCTTAACCAAGAATTACTTAAAATCAGTGGTCAGGGGGAAGGAGGATGTTGTCAAAACAAGTTTTCAGAACAACAGCATATTAGTCTGTCTAGACTGATGTGGTAAACCTGGATTGCTCCCAGTATAATCAACAAAACTGCAAAGCTGTCTATACTAGATATGCCTGATCAGCAAAATGCAATGCAACATGCCTTAATTTGAGGGTCACCCCAGTCCTGTTTTTGTCACAATTTTGTCACATTGCACTGACTTTCCACTTTCCAGCCAAATTATTTTAAATTTCCTTCTGAAATTTAAATCAATTCACTACCCTATTTATTTCAGTGTTTTTATGAGGAACTATTGATGTCATCAACATCAGGCAATGGGTGCTCATTTTCATATTTCAGATAAATCCACTCTGTTTTAGATTGCCTCTTGTTTAGCCACTCATATTGGATTTGTTTATTTACTGCTTCAATAAATGCATTAAAACAGAAATGGTTTATAATAACATGCTTAGACTTGACCTGCTTTCGTTTAGATCATAAAATAGATTTGCCAAAATGTTTTTAAAACTGCATTAAAATGAAAACCGTTAATAACACCATGCAAAAGAAACTTCAGCGCATTTCAGTGATTTGTGGAATTCGGCTGTGTTCTAGAACTCACTTTAAGGCCAGATCTGTCCAACTGCCACACACCCATGGGCTGCCCGACCCTGCCAGGCTCTCCGGGGATGAAAATCTACATCGACCCTTTCACCTACGAAGATCCTAATGAAGCCGTCAGAGAATTTGCCAAGGAAATAGACGTCTCCACTGTCAAGATTGAAGAAGTTATTGGGGCAGGTGTGTTGCTTGTTTATTGCTGATTTTTCTCCATGCACTTGTTAATGCATGAATGACGGGCTTAAAGCTTTATGGGCAAAAGCTTGAAAATAAACAGCAGTTTAATAAAACTGACCGTAAAAAAACACAACCATTACACAGCCATCTCTCTGAGACAGTTTTGAAGCACATCTACCTCTCATTTACTCTCAAACTCAAGTAGGACTCACGACACCGCATCCTGAGGGTCTGTGCCCTTCTCCTCGTCTTCTTGGCGAGTCGTGGTGGAGACGCGGTATGACTCACAGTCTGCTCTGCTTCAGACAGCTCAAGTTAATCCACTGATGCACCTCATATGGATTTCACACAGATCATAACAAATACTCTCAACCTTTTAGCACTAAAACTCAAGTCAAAGTTGACACAGTTTCTCTTTATTCTATCCTTTACTATTTTTGCTCATTTTATCTTGAGCTTTATTGATTTTAGAAGACTTTTGGGGCCACACAGATATAATCAAGCTTGGTGTTGCTTCTAGTGAAGTTGGGTCACCCCAGTCCTGTTTTTGTCACAATTTTGTCACATTGCACTGACTTTCCACTTTCCAGCCAAATTATTTTAAATTTCCTTCTGAAATTTAAATCAATTCACTACCCTATTTATTTCAGTGTTTTTATGAGGAACTATTGATGTCATCAACATCAGGCAATGGGTGCTCATTTTCATATTTCAGATAAATCCACTCTGTTTTAGATTGCCTCTTGTTTAGCCACTCATATTGGATTTGTTTATTTACTGCTTCAATAAATGCATTAAAACAGAAATGGTTTATAATAACATGCTTAGACTTGACCTGCTTTCGTTTAGATCATAAAATAGATTTGCCAAAATGTTTTTAAAACTGCATTAAAATGAAAACCGTTAATAACACCATGCAAAAGAAACTTCAGCGCATTTCAGTGATTTGTGGAATTCGGCTGTGTTCTAGAACTCACTTTAAGGCCAGATCTGTCCAACTGCCACACACCCATGGGCTGCCCGACCCTGCCAGGCTCTCCGGGGATGAAAATCTACATCGACCCTTTCACCTACGAAGATCCTAATGAAGCCGTCAGAGAATTTGCCAAGGAAATAGACGTCTCCACTGTCAAGATTGAAGAAGTTATTGGGGCAGGTGTGTTGCTTGTTTATTGCTGATTTTTCTCCATGCACTTGTTAATGCATGAATGACGGGCTTAAAGCTTTATGGGCAAAAGCTTGAAAATAAACAGCAGTTTAATAAAACTGACCGTAAAAAAACACAACCATTACACAGCCATCTCTCTGAGACAGTTTTGAAGCACATCTACCTCTCATTTACTCTCAAACTCAAGTAGGACTCACGACACCGCATCCTGAGGGTCTGTGCCCTTCTCCTCGTCTTCTTGGCGAGTCGTGGTGGAGACGCGGTATGACTCACAGTCTGCTCTGCTTCAGACAGCTCAAGTTAATCCACTGATGCACCTCATATGGATTTCACACAGATCATAACAAATACTCTCAACCTTTTAGCACTAAAACTCAAGTCAAAGTTGACACAGTTTCTCTTTATTCTATCCTTTACTATTTTTGCTCATTTTATCTTGAGCTTTATTGATTTTAGAAGACTTTTGGGGCCACACAGATATAATCAAGCTTGGTGTTGCTTCTAGTGAAGTTATAGTAGGGAGAGTCTCCGTTAGGCAGCCTGGGGTTTGATGACATACTGAAGGTCAGAATGACCTCAGTGACTCGTTCCTGAATTATATACTCTTTACTTGATCTGCAGATTTGTGTAAACAGCCTAGATCCTTAACTGTTAAGCTACCACATCTGAACTGTTTAGTAAGTATGTTTTTTTTTTTTGTTGTTTTTTTTTGTACTCTAGGGTTAACAGTAGTCCAGACCCAAGATAACACCACTGGTTGAACTGTGCTTAGGAAGCTGCCATTGTGTTTGCCAGAAAACTTTGGGGAAATCAGCCTACAAATGACTTAGTCTAAACACTGAATAAATTGGAAAAGATACACACATGAGCTCTACTATGCAAATTTTAAGCTTTGATACTCATAATCAAACTCTGGGACTTTTAGGGCTTTTGTAGTTGCTGTTTGCTTTAGAAGTTGTAATATCAGATTACACTTGGATTGGCCAATAATTATTTTGTTTTGTTTTGCAAATTAGAAACCATTTTTATCCAAACCATCTGAGTATGCTTACACTAGTTCACACTACTTCAGAAAACACTGAATCACTGAAAATCATTGTTTGCAATTGATATGGTCTGCTTCAAAGCTGAGGAAAAATGCAAGTTCTGTCATGCAACTTCTTAAAATTTGACTTCCATTCATTGGCTTTTGGGAATCCAATTCGCTTCTATTTCTTGATTCACTGTTCACTGATGGGTTTAATGGCCTTTCACTCATTCCTCCAATTTGTGTGCCCAAGGTGAGTTCGGGGAGGTGTATAAAGGTCGACTGAAACTGCCTGGAAAACGAGAGATCTACGTTGCCATCAAAACACTGAAGGCGGGCTATTCTGAGAAGCAGAGGCGCGACTTCCTGTCTGAGGCATCAATCATGGGGCAGTTTGACCACCCCAACATCATTCGCCTGGAGGGTGTGGTCACCAAGAGCCGACCGGTCATGATCGTCACAGAGTTCATGGAGAATGGGGCACTCGACTCGTTCCTTAGGGTAAGTGCAACATCCAAAACAAGCACCCTCTGTGTCTCTCTCTTGCTGTCTGTTTCATTCTTTCCCTCTGGTGTGGGGAAATACACTGTTTAATCAATGTTCAGCCCATTTTTTTTTTTCAGTCTCATGGATTGGTTCTCTCTAGCTTTGATCTGGTGCCGCAATGAAGGGGCTCTTTGAAGTTGGTTTAGAAATCCACCACATCCGAGTAGCGTTGCCATCGATCCACACCCCCACCCCTGTTTGTTATCGTGCCTTCGGTTCAAAGCTTTCTCTTGTGCAAAATGGCGGCTGTATACAGAAGTTTCGAAGGAACTGTAAGGTCTCCCACTGTGTGCTGTAAACACGGTTTAGACAGCTACTGATGAAGTGTTAAACACAAATGGTGCACGAAAAGGAAAATCAATGTCTCTTTTTATTCACAAGATATTTATTTAATCCGTGCTGCTGTTTGTTTCAAATTATTGAAAGGTCTGCCTCTGTATGAAATGATCATTTTATTAATTAACTTGTTTCTAAAAGATTAAAGCACACTGATGTCTCAGAGCGACTTGCATCTGTTTGATTTCACGCTAATTGCAAAGACAGTCTACTGCAGCTGGAGCAAGGGTACAGTGGAGATCCAGCAGCAGTTTATGAAGGACCTCCAGACTCCGAGCCATTTCACACTAGAGCTTCTAATGTGGATGTGAGTCTGTGGGAAGTCAATTTTTGATTCGTTAGGCTGGTGTGAATGTTGGTGTGAACTCAAGCGTGGTTCCTCGATGTTCATCCAAGAAAACCCCTTAAGAATAGGGGGTATGGATCATGTGGTTCATATGCTTCATACACCCCACAGGAACTTGAATGGCAATCAACTAACTAACTAACTAACTATATACATAAATAAAAATAACAGATAATGCATTCTGGGAAATTAAGTGTTTTTCCACCGAACTCCACGAAAGTCCGACCGATGGCTCATGGACATTCCTCCATACCACATTTCTCTTTTGCCCAGTCTCATACCCGTTCATTTCACCCACACACACATTATCTGTCTTGAGTTTCGTCCTCGTGTCTTCGCTCGGTTGTTTGTTTGTTTATCCGAGAGTAGTCCTCTTTCGGAGTGTAAATGCTGCATCGCCCAAACAGAGCAGACGAAGGGCACCTGCTTATGACTTCACAGTTGGGTCGCGCCGTGCAGTGCAGCCGGAAGCTGGTATAACCATTGTCTTGTCTCTCTCTTTCATTCTATCAATCTATTGTTCTGTCATTTCTGTCTGTTGTTCTTTGTCATTCTGTCTAGCATTCTATCTATCTATCATTCTATCTATTGATCATTTTATCATTCTGTCTATTCTTATCTCTATATATATCGTATCTGTTGTTGTTTTGATACATTCAAATTTGAATTGGAATTTTAAAGGCACTCACAATTCAATTCTGAATGGCGCACAACTATAATCATAACCCTAAAATCTGATTGATTCATAGGAATTTTGTTCCAGAAACAGTGTCATGTATCCTGGATCATGTCCTGCTTTGACAAATCATGTTAAGCTTTTTGAAACAGAGTGAAGTGGAAAAAGATGGTTATATTTTTCATTAACCACATACTGTACAACCAAAAATGTTTATAGCTAAACACCAGGAGCTCCTTTGGTTGAGGTTGAGCATCGACGTATTGGTGCACATCATGTGATATGTGTTGTGTGACAGCAAAACGATGGGCAGTTCACAGTGATCCAGTTGGTGGGGATGTCGAGGGGAATTGCCGCAGGCATGAAGTACCTGTCCGAGATGAATTACGTCCACAGAGACCTGGCTGCCCGCAACATCCTGGTCAACAGCAACCTCGTCTGCAAGGTGTCGGACTTCGGCCTGTCCCGTTATCTGCAGGAAGACACCTCTGACCCCACCTACACCAGCTCACTGGTAAGACTTTGCCCAGGCATGTCAGGCTCACCACTTCATTTTAACAGGAGCCAATAGGTGCCATGTTTAGCAATGTTGCTTGAGATAATTGTAAAGGCAGGTATTGACCGTTTGTAATTGCCCCTCATTTCCTCAAGCTTTGGTTTTATTTTCTCATTCATGTCCGCTGTTCCCCAAAATGTCTCCAGAAAGAAACAGTGCATTGTCTCCCTGACAGGACATGACCATTTCCTGGAAAATCTGCATTTGAATTCTGTATGTGATTGAACACATCCAAGTGACTGGACTTCCAATAGCCTGCCTCCCAAATGGAGTGCTCAGACTTCAGGAATTCTCTATTATGTATCATTATTAATAGGCATCCAGGGTATCATTAGCCCTCCTGTGCTGCGGATCTTTAATATTAATATGAAATACTATTTTCTCCTGCCTCCTTAAAGACTCTCTATTCAGAGCACTGTGATATTTTTGGTGCTGTGGATTCGTCGCGTTTGTAATTATCTGGGCTTATTTGACCCTGTTATGATTTCTGTGTTCAGGCTGGTTTAAGACAGGCGCTGCTACATTGACAGTCACACTTTTAGCAGGGTCAACCATTTCCTCCGCACTGGAGAGAAACAGCCCTGGGTCACATCCTTTATTGAACGTGTTTTAAATTCACTTCAGTCTTCTCATAGAAATGTCCCATGCATTGTAAGCAAACAATTTCATCTTTTACACTCGGGTGGTTCCTCAGCGCTGGTGAGCAGAGATGTGAGGCGGATGATAAGGAGACGAGACGACAGACAGGGAATATTTAGCTAACGTTTTGTCTTTTAAAATGCGTGAAAGCTCATTAAGCCCCAAAGGCAGTCGCTATTCACAAGCAAGATGTCCTGCGGTGCCTGCTGATTGACAGGAATATGCGGCAAAGATGTGAACAGGGGTGTGATACTGATGTGACATCGCTGTCTTCCTCACTGATAGAGGGAGAATTTAATTACCCCCTGGGTTTTTGCCATTTTTGTTCACTTTTTAGCTTTTCATGGCCTGTGTTTACTAGCCCCATCCATCCATCCGTCTGTTTGTCTGTCTGTCTGTCTATAGAAGTATAGAAAAATTGAATGCCAAAATATTTGAGTCACATGTAGTCTGGACACAGTACAGCCAGATTACGATCTGGACTCTGAGGATGAGACATTTGTAAGTACGTCTGCCTATACGCCTGTCACTCTGACATTTTGCTTTTTAAATTTGTTTTTAGTTGATTTATGTACTGTGTCTAACTTGAAGATAACAATCTTGTACTAAAACTCAAACTCTACTCAGTTTCTCACCTGAAACTGGAGGGTTCTTTGGCCTAGAGGAGATGATATAAAGAAGGAAGTGAAATTCAAAGGGAAGAAATAAAGAAATGTCCCTCACTTTCCCAGCATGAACACAGATTTCCCTCTCGCTGTCAGCATGACAAGTGCAGTGGCTGCAAATGGAAAATAAAACAATTTACACTGAGGTGGGATCTGAATGTGTGACACCCCCTCGCCGTGCCACCCTCCTCTGTCACTTTCTGTTTCCCTCTTCCTCTTCCTCTTCCTCTCCCATCCGAGGGTTGTGATTTGGCATGCTGGAGTGTGGAATGTGGAATGTGACATGCTCATTCTCTCTTTCCTCTGTTTTCTCACCATTTCAAATCCTTCAGTGTCTTCAGTTTTCCCTTACTTGTCGTCTCAGCCCCAGTTGTTGAAGTCTGATGTCCTGTAGCGTTTTGTGCAATTGTATATAGCGTGTTTAGCCAGACTTTTACCAGTCGGCATCAAAACTGGTTCACATTATGACTTATTCTGCCCAAGAACTCTGTTAAACTAGTTCACATTGCCCAACTTGGTTTGTTAGGGCAGTGTGAACTAGCCTGAGACGTGAAGAATTCATCTGACCATCATGCAGTCGTCTGGTTTTGTTGGATCAGTGTTGGCAACACAGCTCCTATACTGTTGTTCATGCAGCTCAAGCAGAGCCAAGTTCATGGGTTCAATTCCCAAGGAATGCATGGAGTGATAAGAATGAGCAATTCTAGAAATTATTAAATTATAATGTCAAATTTAATGAACATAAGAAAGACAAACCTGTTAAATTGCTTCTTAGGAAGGACGAATGAGGAGAAATGCATCTGTGCGTGTGTGCGTGTGTGTGTGCGTGTGTGTGTTTGATGTAGTCTGATAAATGTCAGGTGTCACAGGTAGCTAAGCCAGTATAAGCCCATCAGTTATTACATTCCCCGTCTGTATATGTGTGTGTGTGTGTGTGTCAGTACTCTGTGCGGTGCAGCTGAGATGAACACGTTTGCTCTTTTTACGCCTAATCTTTGCTGATCTCACAACAGCTCGCCTTGAGCAATCCTAATAGTCTACAACAGCATTTAGGAGGAAATCTTCAAGGTCAGTATCACAGAGCCAGATTAATTCTGAATGAAGGCTGATGTATACTTTAATTTATGCCAAGCAAGAAGGGTTTTGTCAGAAATATAAAGTAACACTAGATTTCATGTTCTTCTGAAGAAAATGAATGATTTTTGCCCAAAAAAAATAATTAATGGGGGCTTGTATTGTGTCCACTTTAACACTTAGAATGGTAATTGCACAGCTCTCCTCAAGACTTTTTAATTTGGGGGGGGGGGGTCGTTATGTCCATAGTACAAGTGGTGATGTCAGGTTATACATGTTAAGGGGAAGTCGTGGCCTAATGGTTAGAGAGTCGGACTCGTAACCCAACGGTTGCGGGTTCGAGTCTCGTACCGGCAGGGATTGTAGGTGGGGGGAGTGAATGTACAGCGCTCTCTCCCACCTTCAATACCACGACTGAGGTGCCCTTGAGCAAGGCACCGAACCCCCAACTGCTCCCCGGGCACCGCGTCATAAATGGCTGCTCACTGCTCCGGGTGTGTGTTCACGGTGTGTGTGTGTGTTCACTGCTGTGTGTGTGCACTTTGGATGGGTTAAATGCAGAGCACTAATTCCGAGTATGGGTCACCATACTTGGCCACATATCACGTCACATATCACGTCACTTAACCTTAAAAGTATGTTTATATGTTTTATAATGAGTATGAGCACTAATAATAGTGTTGTCTGACTTTTTTAGAATGTAATTTGGACTGCAACATTTATCATGGTTTATTTTAGTGAATTTAAACTGTCAATTCAATCTCAATTTCATGGGTTTATACAACCTTGACTCTTGCCTCTCTTGTAAAATGTGAGCAGATTGGTTAGCAAGTTACTGCGGGTATCAAACAGAGGAGCAGTGTGAGCAACACTTCACCACACCACTGTCCTCAGCTGTCATTATTTAAACAAGCCATCTGACCTTTGACCTGCAGCACCATGTGACAGACTTGAAAACCTCACACAGTGGTATGCGAGCGCTCTTTCATTTAAGCACAAAGAACTCTCAAAGGAAAAGAAAAGGCGTACAAGTCGAGGAAAGGACAGAATACTTAACCTGGTTATGAAAGACAAGGTCATAATCTAATATTAAAAATCCTGGATGGGAAATTGGGAGGAAAGGATGATAAAGGATTAGGTGAGCATGGTTTAATTTGCGCTGTCCCCGTCGGGCGTCTGGGCGGTGGCGGAGCGGTACAGGACCGGGAAGAGGGCGCGAAAGGTTAGCGACACACGGTTAGCCTGCTGCTATCTAAACCACCTCCCCTGATGTCTGATTTGCCTGCTGATGTTAATACAGCACAAATTGGACTGGAATTTGAAATTAATGTAAGTGAAGGAGATATAAGCAAATTAGATCTGTGTGGCCCACAGAGAAACCGAATGGCCACGGGTTATAATTTGAAAGCAGTTAGACAAGGTGATCTAGTATTCACTTTGTAGCATTATTAGTTTGTTGACACCAGTGTGACATGGGGTGACCAAAACCTTATATCAAACTATGAGAAATCTTATATCATGTTACATCTCTATATTTTTACATTACATTAAATTACATGTTTTTTCATCAGTTTGTAAGTTTCTTCACTTGTAAGTAATGTAAAGTAGTGATAGACAGTCTTTCTAATATGCACAGGTTTTCAGATCTAAATATATGCCACTGTCGTCTTGCCTCATGCAGGCACATTTCCAATGCAGATTGTTTGTGTTTGGAACATTAAACACTAGTGGTGTGTCTTTCTTCTGCAGTTATTCAAGTGTTGTTTGCTGTGAGCATGTGCCGCTCTGAGAGACAGATCTTCATTGTTCAGTGAGAGACAGTGGCGCATCAGAGAGACATATGGATCTATAACTATAAATGCTGAATGAATGATAAACCACTTTATTGTATTTGCCCAGACGTTTTATGTTTCAGTGAATCAGCTGTTTCGATTTTATTTTATATTTTATTTTATAATTTTTTTTAGAACCACACTTCAAACAAGCTATCATTGGTGTAAGACATTGCCATTTTTGCATTAACCATTACTAGTTCAGTTCTGTTATGTTCACACTACATGGGTTCAATGTAAAAGTAATTGTCATTAACTTGAACTCAGTATTTATGTGCCCCGTCTCTATGGTGACAGGCCTCTTGTCACAGATAGAAGTCAGTGGAGGTGACCTGTATGACTCTCTGTATGGTCTCTGTCACATGTAGGTTCATTCCATCTTATATTAGAATCGATGGAGATGAAATTGAGTCTTTCAGGTCGCTGAACCCAAAGGTCAGAAGAAAATCCAAGCAGAAAGGGTCATCAAATCCCTCATTTGTTATATATATTTTTTTCATTTGATAAAAGAATAATTTTTTTGTTTATATTGTGAAGTATTTTATTTTCCCTGAAGTTCTTCATAATGTTGTTCGTTAGGGTGGGCAAAATTGTTGAATCCACCTATGACATCTAAACATGGGTGGTCATATGTTATTGTGCTATTGGTTGTCATAGTGCTTGCTGTTGAAAAATGCCCAGCTTTGTGCCTGACAGATTTCTGAGGTCCTAAACACAAAGCATGCGTGTCATAACCTTTACGATTTCTGAATGACCCATTTTTGCAGCTTAGTTTCAGTATATGGTCTTGGGTGGGCTGGAATTTTTGCTTTTTATTTATTGTGTCGTGTTTACACTATGTCAGACTCTTATATCAAAGGAGCAAAGAAATCTGACTTTGATATGATTATTGGTCTTTATAAATCTCTGACTGAGGTGCTGCAGACTTATTACAGGAATATTGAAAGTGAATATTGAGTTCAATGGGTTGCAAAAATGTAGTGTTAAGGAAAAAAGGAGGAGGGATGGAGGGGACTAAAGAGAGAACTGAGGGGTTAAAGAGATGGAATGTAAGAGTGACGCAAACTCCCAGCAGGCATCTGTCCTTCCCTGACCACTGTTTCGTCACTGTTTCCACAATAAACTTAATAAAAATTGGACAGAGAAAGAGGTCTGAGATTATGTAATCTTGTTTTAGGTTGTTGTCCTTTCATTTTCTAAAATGTTTTTGTTTTCTCTTCATAACGGCTGCAGTATTGCGTTTAAAATGAGAAAGCCCCACCCACAAGCAGTGACATCATTCACAGTCATTTGAGGATGAATTAGTTTCCCATGATATATTGTGGAGTTTAGCTGTCTGTTCAGTATTTTATTCTTTATTTGCCTCTTCTGCAACTCACTGAAATATTTCCTGTTTATTTTTTTATTCAGAAACTTCATTAAACTTTAATTTAGAAAGTGTAAATCTGGTGGGTGCTGGAATGTTCCCTAAACTTACATTAAAGAAGGGAACCAAGTCGTTTCTAAAAACCGGAATGTGTACAATAAGCAACCATGTAGCAACCACATTGTAACTTGGTAAAAACCAATACCCTAGCAACGACCCTAACATCTTGTCAGTCAGTTTTGCACATTTTCTTCAGAAAATGTAAAAATATTAGTAGTTTATTATTGAGATAATAAAAAAACACTTCCAGAATGACAATATGCTGCTCAGCCTTTCTGCATTGTAGTTTTCGTCTGGTTGACGTCAGAGGCAGGACTGAACTAATTGACATCATTAGACTGGAACATAAAGCATGTGGATCTCAAACCAGTTCTGTGTGTGTTTTGTCATTGTTTGTGTGGGTGTGTATGTGAGGTAAATCTTAAAACCAACCGCTGTCGATTTTAATCAGCGAGGCACAAATCCAGCCTCAGGTAGTCCAATTACAGACAGACACGCTCCACGGACGAGACTAGGCCCTCCTCACAAACACACACACTTACACTATTGCGTGTGTGTACTGAAAGAAGGGAAAGAGGTTTTTATGATGTTTTGTAAAGGAAAAATAATTGAATTAATTCGTGCTGAATTTAAAAAAAATGCAAATGCAGCCCATTGTTTGCAAATATTTAGAGTTGCGATGGATGTAGTGCTCAGTTAGTCGATATGTTCCTGTTGTTTATTTGTTTTGTTCAATCAGCATACTTCCCAGTTGTCCATGTGAAAGTGATACATTTTGATTTGTGTATATAAATGAGACACATGGATTCTAATGACCAAAATGAATCCAGGTGACAGCATCCTATCACTCCTATTGCACCAATCTGACCTGTCATTTTTTGTTTGTTTCCTCAGGGTGGAAAGATCCCTGTGAGATGGACCTCGCCGGAAGCCATCGCATACAGGAAGTTCACGTCTGCTAGTGACGTCTGGAGTTACGGTATCGTCATGTGGGAGGTGATGTCTTTTGGCGAGAGGCCCTACTGGGACATGAGCAACCAAGATGTAAGTTTCCTCTTTCTTTTTTTTATACTAAACAGAGTATGACTGTCTATTACTGGCTTTGAGTCACACTAGCCCTGAATCTTAAACTGAGTAAAATACAAATGAAAACATATATTATATTATATCGTATTGTATTGTATTGTATTGTATTGTATTATATTATGTGCTGTCAAACGATTAATCGCGATTAATCGCATCCAAAATACAAGTTTTGTTTACATAATGTGTGTGTGTGTGTGTGTGTGCTGTGTATATTTATTATGTATATATAAATACAAACTCATGCATGTATATACTTAAGAAAAATGCTATTAAATAATTTATAATATAATGTAATAATTATATTATAAAAGTTTTATATAGAATAGAATAGAATAGAATAGAATAGTTGTGGGGCGGTACCTTTACAAAAGGTACACATTTGCACCATATTTACCCATAGTGGGTGCAAACCCTCTTATTACCTTAAAGGTACATATCAGTACCTAAATGAGATATTTCAGTAACTTTTGTAAGGGTACCCCCCAATGACAGCTTTTGTATCTTTTTTCTGAGAGTGCAAGGCTTTGCAATGCATTCATGATCTATGTAAAATGCATGATTAACTATAAAGCACCAAACACCCTTTGGCTTTACCCCTGAATTCCATTGCCGTGAGTCTCATTTCCTGTCAATCTCTTTGGCTCTAAGGCTCACTAGTTTGAGTCTTACTGTCTTTCCTACTGAATCTACAGTACCTTCCTTTCTGCATTAAAATCTCCCAACATCTGTGTTTCAGAGGAGACAAATGCTTTTTCCTGTTCGAATTGTGAATACAGCAGACTCATTCTAGGCACTCTGGGGATTTTCAGAAAATCCTGCCAATGAAAACATAAATTCCCCAATCCTTTTAGCATCCGGTTAACACGTCAGAGTTGCAGAACAAACCCTGAGGAACTTGTGACTGTAATGACCGCCAAACTTACAACTGTATAAAACGATTTGAGCGTTCAGAGATTCGGTACGTTCAAATCAAAGAAAATAAATTAAAGAAATTAATTACTCTTTTTCTGCTATTTGTACATTCTCTGTATTTACTTTCTTTTCTCAAAGATAGTCTCCATGGCTCAAAAGGGGTGTTGTTTGTTATGCTCGACAGACTTAATTTCTTATGTTCTATTTGAAAATTATGTTGTTAAATATTCATGAAAACCATCTTATGAAAGACTAAGACTGTAAAACTGTCTGATTCTGTTATACAATATGTTTAACATCTTATGACATGCACCAAAAACACAAACAAAGCAATAGAGGTCCCAAGTTATACTCTCTGACACAGAAGAACCGCCAAAGGTAAAGTTGTGGTTGGTAATGTTTCTTCAGCCTATCACACACTTCATTATCTAAATCTTCTAGAATTTTTAACGATCATCCAATCCCAAATTGCCATAAAAAGATCATATCCGCGTAATGAAACAGCAGGACATCTGCAGCACTCAGTGCCCACATCTCACCGCCGTCCTGTGGAATCCATTTAGGAGAAAAGCGGTAGCTGTGGAGGGAGCAGAGAATATATTGATCCTCAAATATTTAGATTCATGTTTCTGCGAACCAGAGCTTAGATTGGTATGCAGAGGATAGACAGTGTTTGTTGGTTCATTTGATCTTTGCTTGTGTCAGAGAGAATCAGAGAGAGGAATATGGGAAGAGAGTCCACAGTGTTTGATGAGGGTAGAATGACAGATCACGTTTAACGATTAATGATGCTCATGGGTTGTTTGTGTGTTATGTTGCAATGTCTATGCAACAAAACTGATATATGTGCCAATCTTTGTGTGATAAAACAATATTGTATGCTTGATCTTTTTTTATGATATTGTTATGGTATTATTTAGTTCCTATTATTGAAGCACTCAAAACCAGTTTCTCACAATGCATTTCCTCTAGTGACGGGGGTTTTGATTAAGTGATTCAAATCGTTTGAATTCTCTAAAAGATTCATTTAGGTTTGACCACTCATTTATTCACTAAAAGATTTGTTCGTGCAAAAGATTTGTGCAGTGACCCTTTCTGAGTGAATAATTTAGTTAGTATTCATTTATTACTTAGGAATCACTTATGTACTGTCTTTATCCAAAAGTTGCATGTCACTCAGAAAAAAGGTACAAATCTGTCACTGGGCTGGCACCATGTCGAAAGGTGCTAATTTGTACACTTTAGGTACTATTATGTACTTTTACTAATATGTTCCTTAAATGTTTTAATATATACCATTTAGGGGTAAAAAGGTACAAATATATACATTTGAGCTTTTGTACCTTAGGGGACCGTCCCAGTTACAGCTTTGTAGCTTTTTTTTTTTTTTTTTTTTTTTTTTTTTTCTGAGGTTCCAAGAGTGTACGAATCCACTGAGAGACTCCAGAAAGTGTTTAAGAATCATACATATAAGTGCTTCGCCCAGCAATGACAACAGCAATTAATGGCAATAATGTGTGTGTGTGTGTGCGTGCGTGCGTGTGTGTGTAGGTGATCAACGCTATAGAACAGGATTACAGGCTGCCGCCCCCCATGGATTGTCCCACTGCTCTCCACCAGCTGATGCTCGACTGCTGGCAGAAAGATCGGAACGCTCGGCCGCGCTTCACGGATATCGTCAGTACTCTTGACAAACTCATCCGCAACCCCACCAGCCTTAAAGCAGTTGCCAGTATACCCACTATGTGAGTCAAACAAACTTATTATACACACATTTTGTTTTCATACTATGGTGGAAACCTTTATTTATGCTAACAAGTTTGGGGGCTTTTTTATTTTTAAATAAATTAATATTTTTATTCAGCAAGGACTTTTACATTGTTACAAAATAATAATAAAAAAAAAAAAAAGTTATTTTGAACTTTCTATTCATCAAAGAATCCTGAAAAAAAAGTATCATGGTTAACATAAAAATGTTAAGCAGCACAAATGTTTCCAACTTTGATAATACTAAGGAATGTTTCATGAGCAGCAAATCAGCATATTAGAATGATTTCTGAAGGATCATGTGACGCTGAAGACTGAAGTAATGTACAATATATTAAAACAGTTCACAAACTCTAAACATTTAGTGTGTTTTCATGTTAAAAAAGACACTATTTAGTCCACTTATGAAGCTGTTTTCTTTCTGGGAAAAACAAGGTAGGTGGTCCCTACAAAGACAGCAACCATGACACCCAAGGTTGGGTGATGTAACTCCTCTTTTCCCCTGCATCTCACTCTCTCATTCTCTCTCCTCCTCCAGCCCGTCCCAACCGTTGTTGGACAAGTCCATCCCAGACTTCACCACCTTTAGTTCTGTAGAGGATTGGCTGGCTGCTGTCAAGATGTCTCAATACAGAGACAACTTCCTCAACTCTGGCTTCACATCCCTACAGCTGGCCACCCAGATGACTTCAGAGTGAGTGTGAAGTTTTAAGTGTCTTTTCTAAATAATTTGTACAATTTCTCAACATTGGGGTTTCTGTCAATAAAGGTCTTAAAAATCCATGTTGGCATTAGATGGTCAAACTGGTCAGCCAGTCCAAGCCGGAATGTGGTTCTATCCAGGCTGACCAACATGACCTTTCAGATCAAAGATGGCCCCACCATCTGATTAACCAACTAATAAACCACCTTCTAGTTTCTAAATAAGTTTGTCATCCAACTCATAAACCACCCAAACCAGCTTAGAACTGTCTAAAGCACTGTTTTTAAATAAATTGGAAAAAACAGGCTAGTTTACGGTGGTTAAACTAGTCAAACATTCTGAAGTATTCTGAAATGTGGTTATCCAGCTCCTCATTAGCTTAGCCAAGATGGTCCATCAGCTCTAACCAGATTGACTGACATGGTGAACTTGGCCCCATCAGCTAGTCATACAACTAGTCAACCTAGTCAAAACTAGCTTGGACCAGCAGATGATCAGTGTCGCAGTTTCTAAAGTTCTTATATTTATTAGGCTTTTATCATTGTTACTAAAGCTTTTCACTGCTGGTAAAACCAGACTGTACCAGCTTGAGCTAGTTAAACTGGTCAAATATTCAGAAGAGTTTTGAAATATGGTTAGCAATCTCTTCACCAGCTTGGTCCACCAGCTCTAACCAGGTTCACCGACATGGTCAAATTGGCCCTATCATCTAGTCATACAACTAGTCAACAACCCAAACCAGCTAATGACCAATCTAACATTTCTAAAGTTGTCAATTTCTAAAGTAACACCAGGCCGTACATACCAGCTTAAGATAATTAAACTGGTCAACCATTCAGTGTTTTGAAATGTGGTTAGCCGGTTCTTCACCTTCTTAGCCAAGATGGTCTACCAGCAGTAAATTGGTTGAATTAACCCCATCAACAGATTATACAACTAGTCAACCACCTAGTTGCAACCTTATTTCTCGAAATTGTGACTTTTGACCTCACAATTGCAACTTTATTTCCTGTTTTAAACTTCATCACTTAGTTTCCTGATTCCTGAGTTGAAAACAGGCTTTCATATGTCACACTGTTAACAACATCTGTTTCAAAAATCATTATGTTTACAACAATTATGTGTCTTATTCAGCCGTCCTGTCATATTATTGGTTTATTTTAGATGATGTCTAATGCTCGGTGGGTTGGTTTGTTGTGTCTGTGTGAAGGGTGATTAAAGCTGGTTTCAGATTTCCAGACAGTCATTGATCACAGAATGCCAAGCGGCCAGATATCTCAGCTAACTTGTTTAATATCGATTTATGAACCATACATTAGGATTAGCATGAATCGCTAAGGTATGTGCGTGTGTTTTGACTTGTTTGAGTCGCTATCGAGTGAACAGGTGGATATGCTGTTGATGATGTTTAATACACGTCTCCTGGAAGCGTACTGTGAGGTGTAGCGTCTCTGACGCTCTGATTAATGCAGCCGCCGCTCACAGAGAGGGTCTGCGCTTAATTAGCAACATAAGTATGAGCCCTTGTACATTTTCTTGTTGAATTTATATTACTGTTCATTTTATATACTTTGTGCATTGCTCATTATTAATTCATAGATTTATAATACATTTTTTAATGTTTAAATGTTAACAATGTATTAGTAAGTGTACAAATTAAAAATTGCTGTGAAAGTATTGTTAATTGTTAGTTCATGTTAGCTACTGCATTTCATTATTGCAACTAATGTTAACCTATACAGTCTTATTGTAAAGTTTTATCAGTTCATGTGTACAGCCTCAAAAAAAAATGGATTTAAGGCAAAACGTCAAATTTCAGCCATATTTAGTTGAGATGTGAATGTAATCTGAGCATCAACCAATGTGCAATGATAACAGCAGCTCCTTTAACTTGGAAAGGTATTGTTAAAGTATGTTACAAATGACTGTACAATTAGGAAGGAGCGATGCAAATGTATATTATACAGCTATTTAATGTCTGCTTTGGAGGTATTTGTCATGGCTGTGTACTGCATTTGAATGTGTGTCCAGTATTAACTGTAGTTATGCATTCTTCTTGTGTTCACAGGGACCTGTTGAGGATAGGTGTGACTCTAGCCGGCCATCAGAAGAAAATCCTCAACAGCATTCAGTCCATGCACCTGCAGATGTCCCAGTGTCAGACGGGCACAGCGCTGGCATGACTACAGGGGGCGCCAGACGACGGGCTGGGCAGCTTGCGTAAGAATTACCAGCGGGTGAGCCCAATCCCATCGGAGCGCGCAAGAATAGAGACTATCATCCTGATCTGAGAACATGTTTCAGGAGAGGAACCATTATCCCATATCCAACAGACCAGATCGGAACAGGACCACCGAGACTCGCAGGACATCTGTTAACCCATCGGCTATTTGTCTCTTTGGGCTACATTTACAGGGAAAACCGAAGAAGCGGACTCTTTTGTCCTCTTCTTGTCATTAATTCTGTTTTAGTTACCTTCGCGTTGCTTATCAAAAAAATCACTATGACTATTCAGATTCTGAGACGTCTACATCGTTTTCTACAAGGTTCTTTCATTCTTCATTTTTTCCACTATAAACCTTCTATCGTCACTGCTTACCACTAACACTACCTGTCGATCTCGGTATGGCTGATGTTGCCAAAGGACATCCTGTATGCCTGCGTCCCATCCCTAGGCCATACAAGCATAAATGTTGTATATCTTTAAATAAATACGAGTATATCTTCAGAGTAAACCTTCATATTGAAGGTGAAGTGTAACAGACCTGTATGTAAATACCCTCTTCTTCCGCTTGCATTTTTGGCAATGTTGCGTGTTGGACCAGAACCGCCGATTCTGCAGGACATGGACTCGCTTACGTCAGCGCGACGCCACGAGAACAATCTGGGATGAACTCTGACTCTGTCAATGTTGTGTAAATATCAGTTAGTTGTGTATAAACTAGTGTTAAAAAGATATACTTTAGGTGAAAAAAGCTACGCATTCAGGCCACTAAACAGTGTTTATTGTAGGTGTTTCCACGCTGATGAGCACTTACGTGTACAGCTTTTCTTTGTTCCACTTCTTCTTCTACTTCTAGTCGTTCTTGTTAGTTTCGTGTCAGAGTGTTTGAATGCGTCGACTAGCATTGGGGGAGGGTGCGTAGTCACCGCCTAAACTAGCTAGTACACTTAAATGTAGTTCCTCTGTTAATAAGCTGTACTAATGTTGGTCTTACAGGGTCTTTAAAACCGCTAATCTGTTTCCAAGCACGTGTTTACATAAGCGAACGGAAAGGTCCCAGACAGGAAACGAAGAGACTTGCGAAACCGCTGCCCTTTACCAATTTTATCAGGCCGAGTCACACTCTCGGCTCCAGATGTTTCTGGATGACATTGCTAAATGCGGTACATGTTCTTTCATGCCATCAGCTCTCCATTTATTTGTGTGTGTGTCTGGATTGAACATCTGTGTGACCCTTTATGAACAGATGCCTAATGCCACCCCATTGAGCACATTCTACTTAAGCAGTCAGTGAAGCACTGGGAAACACACACACACAGGCTTTTGATGGCTTTGGACTGTTACTTTTTGGTTGCCATGAAGAAATAGCATCAGCTTATTGACGATGATAATAATAATATTATAGGTAACACTATACAGTAAGTTCTAAGTTGTCAACAATAGTAAATGCATTATGGATGTATGAACTAACATTTAACAATACTTCTTGAAAAATGTATTAATCTAGGTTAATGTTAATTTCTGAAAATGCAAAACATTTTAAGATTTCAGGTTGTATGAATGGATATGAACATTGAATGAACATGAATTAACAATGAACCACAGTGTGTTTATAATTTAATCTAGATTAGTAGATGCTGCAAAAAAAGATGCAGTTCATTTTTCATGATATGCTGTATATGCATGAACAAATGTTAATGAATTAAACATGATTGTAAAGTGTTACAAATAATATTAATATTGTATTTGTATAGCATAAAATGTAGCTAAACGTGCTAAACAAATCAGAATATCATTTTAATAAAAAACAGTAAGATGAAAAAAGCAACAAACTAGAAGTGAAAAGTGAATTTAAATGTTAAAAGTAAAGTTAAATTCAATGCAATTACATAGAGAGACCTAAAATACTCAAAAGGCAACTTAAAAATAAATGGTAACCAAACAAATAAATAATTTTGAATCATTGTGTGCTGCAAATATGGTTGGCTTTTATGATAAAATTCCTCATTTGTAAGTTTATTTGGACAAAAGAGCCTTGTATGAATAAATACAAATATAATTGGTAAAAGGTTCCAGATTTGAGGGTCATAATGGCTAAAAGCAGCTCCGCAGGATCTCATAAGGTTTAGCATTAAAGAACCCCAATGTGAGATTTGAAACATAACGGTTTGTAGAGGTTAGCAGAGGTACCATTCATTTGCCTGTTGTGAATCGTGTGTGTGTGTGTGTAATGAATAAGCAGCTACATTGCCTGTAAGTTAATGAGACTCATGGTTTATGGTTATTCTCTACAAGCAACACACACACACACACACAATCCATCACACAGATATACCCAAGGTGTTGCACCTAATTGGCTACAATGAATTTCACCATGGCAACCAAAGAGTGTATTGGCTCTTTGTTAAGGATGACATGCTTTTACAGCTTCTGCCAAGAGGCTTATTCTTTTGCGTGCACACACACACACTCCTCAGCTGTATTCCATTGAAGAAAGTGAATCTGTTACTTCATACGACGGTGGTAGCGATAATGTCTGGCTCTTATACAAGCGTTAACACTAGATGAAGATGTCTTCCCCTGCGCAAAGGACCGGAGGCAGCTCAATTAATGATCACAAAGTATCCTCACTGTGGCCCGCGTCCAGCTCGTTCGCAGTGGGGCGTAACCAAGCTGTCCGGCGTCCTGCCGTATGGCCCAGCTGAAAAATGGCTGACTTGCTCTCATCGCCGTGGACACTCTGGGGAGGGTGGAGCCTGCTGGGATACCTGCAGGTACAGCACACAGATTGAGGAGAGTGATGAATGAGCTGGAGCGAGACAGAATGAAAGAGAAAGCGAGAGCGAGAGACAGTAGATTGCGCAGGATAGGGAAAGAAATTAGAAGAAATGGGGAATAAAGAAAGAAGAAAGTCACAGACCTTAGAGATTAGAGTATTAAGTCAGGATGAAATTAAAATTTTACCCTATTTTCTTTCTAACTATGTTTATTTCAACTTCTCCCCTCCAACCACGTGAGTTATTCTCTATTCTTTTCACAGTCCAATCATGGTGGTTAAAATTAAGTTCCATCATCATATCCTGTTTCATTTATAATTACTGCATATTGAAGTGCAATGGGTTGCAAAAGGCATTTCATGTTGACTGTAAGAGAGAGGGCTTAAAGTATAACAGTGGTTGACCAATATGTGTTTTTGAAAATGGAAAATGCCAATATCTAGAACAGGATAGAGTTTTTTTTTTTTTAATAGCTGATAATATATATTATCTGTCATAATTTATGGGATTATTAATATAATATAATGATCCTAGATATTGGTGTCTCCCTAATATACAACAGTTCAAACAATTTGGGGTCACTAAGATGTAGATGTATATTTTTGAAGAAATTAATACTGTTATTCAGCAAGGATGCATTTAAATGATCAAAAGTGACAGTAAAGACTAGTTTATGGTTAAGACTAGTAGGATATATACAGCCGTGGCCAAAAGTTTTGAGAATGACGCAAATATTAATTTTCACAAAGTCTGCTGCTACAGTGTTTTTAAATCTTTTTGTCAGATGTTACTATGGTATACTGAAATATAATTACAAGAATTTCATAAGTGTCAAAGGCTTTTATTGACAATTACAATAAGTTTATGCAAAGACTCGGTATTTGCAGTGTTGACCCTTCTTTTTAAAGACCTCTGCAATTCACCCTGGCATGCTGTCAATCAACTTCTGGGCCATGTCCTGACTGATGGCAGCCAATTCTTGCATAATCAATGCTTGGAGTTTGTCAGAATTTGTAGGTTTTTGTTTGTCCACCCACCTATTTAGGATTGACCACAAGTTCTCAATGGGATTAAGGTCTTGGGAGTTTCCTGGCCATTGACCCAAAATGTTGATGTTTTGTTCCCCGAGCCACTTAGTTATCACTTTTGCCTTATGGCAAGGTGCTCCAGCATGCTGGAAAAGGCATTGTTCATCACCAAACTGTTCTTAGATGGTTGGGAGAAGTTGCTCTCGGAGGATGTTTTTGTACCATTCTTTATTCATGGCTGTGTTCTTAGGCAAAATTGTGAGTGAGCCCACTCCCTTGGCTGAGAAGCAACCCCACACATGAATGGTCTCAGGATGCTTTACGGTTGCCATGACACAGGACTGATGGTAGCGCTCACCTTTTGTTCTCCGGACAAGCTTTATTCCAGATGCCCCAACCAATCAGAAAAGGGATTCATCAGAGAAAATGACTTTGCACCAGTCCTCAACAGTCCAATCCCTGTACCTTTTGGTGAATTTCAGTCTGTATGTTTTTCCTGGAGAGAAGTGGGTTCTTTGCTGCCCTTCTTGACACCAGGCCATCCTCCAAAAGTCTTGGCCTCACTATGCGTGCACACTTGCTGGACTTTCTTGGGTGCCCTGAAGCCTTCTGCACAGCAATTGAACCTCTCCTCTTGAAGTTGTTGATGATCCGATAAATTATTGATTTAGGTGCAATCTTACTAGCAGCATTATCCTTGCCTGTGAATCCCTTTTTGTGCAAAGCAATGGTAACTGCATATGTTTCCTTGCAGGTAACCATAGTTAACAGAGGAAGAACAATGATTTCAAGCACCACCCTCCTTTTAAAGCTTCCAGTCTGTTATTCTAACTCAATCAGCATGACGGAGTTATATAGATGCAAAGAGGATCTGCCATTTCTGTTAATCAGTTATGTGTACACGCTAAATGGTCAAATAGTCAGCCTGGTCAATATACCCATTCATCTATCACTATGTTGGCCTAATAACGGCAGCACTTCTCCATCTGCACAGACAGACTAAAGCTTCATCATAACGCACACGTACAACCATTACAGATGTAGTATATGATTTATATTTGAATATGTACATGAACGCTATTGTTTCTAATGCAAATGTGTCTCTTTTAAACTCTCATTTTGCACAAGTCCAACAATTCAATCGAGGATCATCTTCATCTCTTGCTCAAGGGTATCCTCCTCCTCTCGGAGGGTTGAGGGAACAGGCAGGGAGTGAGAGGATGAACAGAAATGATTTGTGTCTAATTTTATCGCTCTTTGCCTGGAGTGTTGACACATTGTGGAGTCTGGTGCGCGTTTGGCAGCGGATCAGCGGCGATGCTGTTACCGTGCCAACTGAAGTCTGAGCAGTGCATGTGTTCACTAGCGCAGCTCAGACTAAACAAGCGCAAACAAAAAGCAAGTTTGGAACAATTAAAAGCATCGTCTCACATCGCCCGTAGGAACGAGCCCCCGTTTTGTATTGTTCTTTTTCTTTCACGCGCTTCAAACGACACATTCATGTTAAAATGATGGAGCATTACTTTTGACAGCCGATATTAAAAGCCAGAGAGTCAAAGGGTTCGAGAGACTGTTGATATTACTAGCATGGCATGGATACAAGCTCACACTGTTTTGTAGATACCGAACGAAGGAAAGCCCCCCTCACCTCACCGAGGCTGTATAGTTAACACTCGTTTCTTGTGATGAGTATGTCAGAGTTTGAAACTGTAACTTTCTGAGAACTATTGTACTGAAATGCACTCAATAAAGACCTTGGAAAAGCTGAAGTCGAGCGAGTGATATGTTCGTTTGGAGTGCACTCTTGATATGAGGCACAGGCACGGGTCAAACGTGTAGCCTCTCCGCTGCTGTTGTAAAGGGAGTGCGCGCCTGCGCGTGTGTTTACGAGAGATGTTAGGAGTTTGCAGACGCTCTCGAGACCCTCGAGTCTTGAAGACAACGGCTGCATCCGAAAACTTAGGCAGCCGACTTGCTGCCTCGCTGCCGTATGAGGCAATGACTTTGCAGGCAGCGTTTTTGCATGGCACCTCATGAAACTGTTTTCGGACAGGCTTCTGAGGCAGAGTAACGGTTTAATGATTTACAGCAAAATATAGAGAGCTTTTGTGATAATTAAGTGAACTTTTCATTACTGCAATATTAATTTCTCGCTAGAAATGACATCAAAAGGGGAAAACGTTGATCAGAAACGTAAATTTACACACAAACTGACCACCGACCGCAACTTTCAGATGCCATCTTTATTTTTTAACTTAACTATCAGAGAATGGAACGCACAGGATTGTGGGATTTCAAAGGCAGCGAAGGATACATCTATGCTGCCTTCAAAAATCGGCCAGATGAAGGCATCTCAGGAGACAGGAACTGAAGCAAACATTAAATTCGGACGTTCCTTGATGCCTTCCTACCTTGGAATGCGTCCTCCGAAGGCAGCATTTTTCAGTTTTTGGATGCAGCCAACGGTGTGTTTATTAAGTACCACCATGATGGCGGCTGAAAGAGATAGTGAGAAATACATTTTTAGAGTAATAATTTGACTAACGAGGCATTATATTTATATAGTTGTCAAGCAATGCTTTGCTTTAGTAATTATTCCTG